TGCTGCCTTACTGGTGGCGGGAACATATTACAGTGGAACTACTGCTTACAGAAATACATTTCGTCTAAATTTTATTTAAAAATTCAGTTCGAACCTCAGAATAAACACATCACCTTTCCATTTCGAGTATGAACCCATTAATGATGTTTTGGGAAAAAAATCGCTCTTTATTGTAAGAATCGTAAAAAAAAAATAAAGCTAGCCCTGTAACAGGCCGTGAAGGCCCATACGGTTGTGAGACGTTGAGAGTCCCACATTATCTAGACAATCAGCTCAAAGATGGCGGCAAGGTTGTCAGCCATACGCGCCGGCCGCGCTTTACTCCCCAAGAAAATTATTTAATTAATTCCTGGTACCCATTTCTGTTACAGGCTCAGTCGACCGCAGGGCCATAGTGCGGCTGGAAGGATTATGTCACAATTGAAAAATCCAATGACATCATCGGGACTTGGACCCGCGACCTTCCGGCTTGTAGCATAGTGCCTCAACCAACTGAAACATAAATACACTGCGTGGGCAGAAGGGAGACATCAAAAGCAGGTGGTATATATAATTACCACTGCTACTAAAAAACGCTGGTTTCAAAAAACTGATAACGTTTTCTGCTGAGACAACGGACAGGAAAGAGCTGTGGCTTCTGCCGTACCAGTTCATATCCCACAATGGAACGAAAATCAGCAGTGAGAAGTGACCCTGTCCACTTGGCATTCCATTCCTTAGCGGAACGGCCTGTGTCACTCTGCATGAGAATGCATTTGCCATTGCGTGCGCACTACACCGAATTTTGGGGAACACCCTGTACGTGCACTGACTTTCACGCATGAAGCAAGTCGTAACAATTGTACAGGAGATGAGGGTGGAGTCACATGGTGACCATATGGTCACGTACTGACTGCTTCAACTCGCCACATTAGGGAGGTTCAAGGTGTGTGTATCCATCCACAGTGCAAGAGCTCGCAGAGAGAGGGGAGGCTGTGCGGGCTGCATTGCGTGGCACGTGGGCATCAGGGGCTGCTCGCCACATCATTCGGCCTAATAACAGCGTCGTTAAGTAAACGACGAAAGTAACAAGTCCGATCGCTACTGGCCAATTATACGCTCATATAGGCACTTCGCGCAAAGGACCCATTAACAAGTTAGGAAAGGTACGCACTGCGTAACAACTCTGACTCGTTTAGAGCTATCCCTGTGCTTAATTAGTTCATCACTATGCCATGAAGGCATATGGGGGGAGTGGAGTGTAGTGGAGTATAGCTCCACCATTCTTGACCTCGGCATTAGATGGAGGTCAGTGGTTAGCTTCAAGCTCCTGCCGCTTTATACCCGGGGGAAGAGCACCCAGCACCCACTGGATTGGAGGCTGGGTGGGTCCCAAGTCTGGTCTGGACACTGTGCAGAAAAGAAAGATCTGCAGTACCGGGAATCGAACCCAGGCCGTCCAGCCCGTAACCCGTCGCTATACCGACTGAGCTACCCCGCCCTTACTTCCGTTTAACAATCTCTAAGACTGCAAGACAGACTAAACAACTATTATAGGGCATAAAATATGTTTAATTTTTTCCCTACGACTTTTGTTCGGCGCAGTTTTTTCCCACCCTCAAATATGCAGCAAGTTACGCTCGACGTTTGGACAGAACCCCCACACAGGTCCTCACAAGCCTACAGTGTTCGTTACTGTTGTCCGATTTTAACCAGAATTCGAGTGACATATTTCGATAAAACCAAAATGAAAGCTAACGAAAATCCGTTTAGATGTTTTCGGGTTCTTACACGCGGACAGACAGATAGACACCTGTCGAAACTAGCGGACTCGTTTGTGCAATTTGCCTTTGTCACTGCGTAGGCAACTCATACTGACGTATCGATATCCCCATTGGAAGAGATTGGATTACCGAAGAAATTCAAACAGTTTAATGGCTCGTCCGTCAAGTCTACACCAACATCGTCACGCCCGTCGAAAACGGAACATATTTATTTCTTCGGTAAGACTCTGAAGGTAGTAAGAGCTGGATGACCGAGAGGTCGGGGTTCGAGTTCCAGTAGGGTCAAGAATGTTCTCTTCTCCACAGCGTCCAGGCCGGCGCTGGGGTCCACCCAACCTCCTATCCAATGAGTACCGAGGTCTCTTTCCCCGAGAGTAAAGCGGCAGGTGCGTGAAGCTGACCACTCACCTCCAACTAGTGACGAGGTCAAGAAAATGTGAATCTAAACATCAACTCGCCTTCACGGTGTAGTGTTCACTTAATTAAGCACAGATACAACTTTACTAAAATTGCCATCACTTTGGACAACATGTAAACAAACCCCTGCAAGGTAGACTACTGGGAATGACGCACGCTCCCGGCACTGCTGACCGAACATCACACGAGCCGCAGCCCATGAAGACATGAACTGCGATTTGCTGAAGATGGCTGCATGCCGGGTGAAGGATCAACGGTCATTGTTCACTCCAAGTACGTGACATCCGTCATGATGCTCAGTGGACAGCCTCAACTGGACACACTTCGCGATGTAGACTGGTCGCCTAGTAACCGCTCTGCTACAGTAGCCTGCCTTCTAGTCTTAAGCGCGATAGGCACTGGGGGAGGGAGGTGGGAGCCGTACGACTCTCAACGCAAAATTTCATGGAGAGTTTTGGACTCTGTGTAGTGCGGTAGAAATTTACGAATGATTCGGAGCAACGTACGGCGTCCATTTTCAAAGTAGGAGAGGATGTAACCATCAAGCAGCAAACACAGCATTATTATTATTTTATTATTATTATTATTATTGGAGGGGGTGGGTTTCCCCATGCACCGCGACCAGTTTGATCTATTGTGCGTCCCCCTATGATCTTCTACCAGCCTCTATACCCTACCGGTATTGGTGCTTACCATCAGTCCCTACTCAGCCAGCGAGGTCGGCCTCTACTGGCTCAGAGGTATCTCAATGCGCTCCCCATCTACCAGAGGCGTTAGAGACTACTGTTGGGCGGGAAATGTCCTTAATTTAGCTCAGTGGCCTCCTTTGGAGACATGAGGTTACTGCTTGGCTTATTCTTCGACAGTGAAGATGGAGGCCTACATTCCTACGAATCGTCGGTAAACTTGTACAAGACCACATGAAATCAAATCCTAGGATACTGTGCAACAGACCACGTGGAAGAACAAGGGTACAGTTGTCTCTTTACTTAATTAATTAGGCACCACGGCACGAAGACGAATGGGGAAGCGGAGGTATAGCTCCACCGTTGTTTACTAGGTGGATGTGACAGTTATTACAGTGAATCCTGGGGAATTAGTTGCAGACGGGAGGCGTCCCCTGTCGACCTTCCGCATTGGTTGAGTTAAACCTCTGGATTAAACTACCACAGTATCGGTGAAGAGGCGATATAAACACCCCCGTCACTCAGCGCTGCGCACATCGAGGTGCTCACGGATCGCGTGTTTCTGTACTACAAAAACGGCTGAGGGAGACAGCAATAAATAACCCTGACAAATATGAAAGAGAAGTGCCGCAACTGGGGGGGAGGGGTGGCTGAATCCTCTCAAACGCCTCGCAGACAGCCTGCACCCATGCATTGCACGTACACCGCTTGCCTCGTGAGGCTGACTGCCCTTGCGGAAGGAACGGGTACATCCAGCTAAAAGGGAGCCGTTCGTACGACGGGACAATAAGACATCGAAGTCAGGTCTACCATTCATGACAGTACTTCCCTTAAGAGTTTAAAGCATAGGTTACTATAACAACTCCTGCTTTAAAATCGTTTTATAAAAACTCTGCATTCTGCCCACACAGTGTGTTTGTATCTGACGAGTACTTCTCTAACTAATTGGTCTGCCTAAGACATATTTCTGATTACGATGTAATTATTACGTCACTATCCGGACATGACGCATCCTCAGAGATACGTTAGACACACCATGATGGAGATGACATATATTTAACGTCAGGTAGGAACTCAATTCCTCATCAATATTTAGATGAAGGGGTTTCGAGAGGTTCACAGGTTGACTGCTTGATATTCCCTACAGCTATGTTATACGCTGCACAGACAGAAATCTGAAAACAACTATGAGCACAACAGCACGCGGCTGTCTGCGCTTGTCTGCTCGGGACACAGCTAAGAACATGGAAAGAAACGGGAAAGAGCAGCAATACAAATAAACAAGTGGCTAAAATAAAAGTCATGTATTTATAAAAGAAATCTGATCTTTCTTTCTTTCTTTCTTTCTTTCTCTTCTGTTAGAAGAATTATAATTTTCAATGGTCAGATCTATTCTTCATGAGATAAACTGGCCAACTGCCACGCTCCGAGGGCAGAACCCCGAGAGGGAGGAGGGGCAGCGGGCAGACACGAACGTGATCACATGACTCACTGCGAGGAAACAAAAGTAAAAAGTCTATACATAATATCTCAGAGTAACTGAACATACTCCTTCGATCCTTCGGTAGTCTGTGAGTTTATGAAATGTAGAAATATAACTAACTTCACTGAGCTGAGACCTTCTTGAGAAGCCGCCTGTTGTGCAGCTATTCAAGAACTTCCCAACATTTTATGGAACCCGAAGGTTCATTACCGTGTTCACAACAGTCCTCCACTGGTCCCTATCCACAGCCAAATCAATCAATATCAACTCATCCTCTCTCTAAGATCCATTTTAATATTATCCACCCACCTAGGTCTTAGTCGTCCTAGTGATCTCTTTCCTTCTGGCTTTCCCAGCAATAACTTATATGCATTCCTCTTCCCCCCATTCGTGATACATGCCCTGCCCATCTCATCCTCCTTGGCTGGAGAAACCGCTAAAAATATTTGCACGGCGGTAATAATGAGTGCTGTTTCACACTGATGTCATCAGGGTTATGACACCGTGCAGTGTGCTTGTTGATACAAACCTTTTGGGGCACTCTGTGCGTGAGTACAAGTTCGTAAAATTCTGTGCCATAGAGTGAAAGTGGGAGCGTGTCGTTGCGACGGGTGAGGGGGTTGGGCAGGGGCGCCCGTTTGCGTGACTCACCTCGCCCCGACGACAATCTGATCCCTGGACACGTCGAACAGGAGCTGAGAGAAGGACGTCACTCCGGAATCGGTGAAGCGGTCGGCCTTCGGCAGCAGATCTGCAAGAAGCGCAACACCGTCACTGAGTAAGGTCAGCTCTGTGGGACTTAGTCCGTGCCCGAGCTCATGGCGTGGTCTGTCCGTCTATGTGCATGCCGGCAAGAACTCGAGAACCACAGAACAGATTTCAACCTTTCTTTTAGCACAGTGATTTTTATTATTATTATTATTATNGGGAAACTTGTTGCCTAATTTTGCTCAGAGGTCTCCTAGAGACATGAGGATCTTTTACGTGCCGTAAATCTACGACACGGGACCCACGGCTTAAAGTCCCTCCCGGAGGACTTGTTCCCTGAATTTTTCCGCCCTTAAAAATTCCACGACCTCGGCCGGGTTTGAACCTGCGTACCTTGAGTCATGAGGTGGGAATAGCACAGTGGTTACTATATGTACCACCTGCTTTAACATTAAAAATATATGCTTTTTCTCCGCAAAGTACTACAATTCATGTGTTTTGTACGGTTCTCACAATAAACAGCGACTGTTTCCCTGAGCAGCGTTAACCACTGCTGTACCACACGAGGCGAGGCAACGCGTGAGGTTTATCGCTCTCCGCTCAAGCTTCAGGAAAGAAATTTATTTGGAAACAAATTATGAGGCATGTACAGAGATCTTTGAAGTAAAACGATTACATTACTTAAATATTAACATATGAAGAGTCATGCCAGCAAATGAAGCCTGTCTCCACCAAAATAAGCCGCATCTTTCACAAGAACTAAGCAAATCCTTGTAAGCTCATATAACTTATCTAAGACATTCCACCAATCACTCGACAGATATGCATAGCTGGCAGCCTCCGAGCTGTAATCTCGTGGACCCAGAGTCAACAGCTTAAAGCTACTGCAAACAGACGCCGAGTGTGTGCACACAGAGACCAAGGCACTGCTGCCTGGTAAACAGCTTTCGTACAGGTAAGTGTTCACAGTCTGGGGGTGTCTTCTGTCTCGGCATCTCAACTGGCGCCTCTTCGTCATCAATGCAGCTTACTCAAGGCGCTGGAACCTTACCCTGTACAGTAAACCCTCGCTAATCCGGGTGTCGGATAATCCAAATAGAAATATGAAAAATTCTGTTCACAGATGAATACGTACTTTAAAGAACACATTGCATTTAGGAGCAAGAGGACATTCAGACTGTGTTGAGGGCAGCAGGAGAGACTGAAATCACGCAAGAAAATATCCAAGACTGGCTTCAGCTGGTTGAAGGAGATTTATGCTTCTCACAGAGGAAAAAATTGCTGCAGTGTTATTTTTTTATTTATTTTCATCAGCACTACTTATATGATTAAATTTTACATTTATTTGCTTTCTACGGATTTTTTGTCTTTTGAGGTTATATTTCACTTCATCTATAAGGATTATCGGCTAATCCGGGTGACCTCTTCCACCCATTAATCCGGATTAGCGTACCACATTTTACCGTATTTAAGAATTCGATTCTTCCTGAACAGAAAACGGCTACCAGGATCAGTTACTGCTCTTTACGGAAATAATCGGTGTTTATTAAAGAATTGTACAAATGCACAGATACACTGTGTGGGCAGAATGTTTAGGTTCTGTATGCTAAGGCAGGTAAGGTAAGGTAAAGCTGTCCCCGTGCTTAACTAATTAAGCACTACGTCATGAAGGCGTATGGTGGAGTGGCTGTATGGATACACATTTTCTTGGTCTCGTCGCTAGCTGGAGGTGTGGTCAGCTTCACGCCCCGGCTGCTTTACACCCGGTACCCATTGGATAGGAAGCTGGGCGGGCCCCAGAACCGGTCTGGACGACGTGGAGAAGAGAAAATTCTTGACCCTACCGGGACTCGAACTCCGACCCCTGTGTCGTCCGGCCCGTAGCTAGTCGCTATACAGACAACGCTACCCCGGATCCTGTGGCTTTCGTGATATGATTTGAAAATGAAGCAGGTGGTGCATATAATTAGCATTGTGCTTTAAGGGTGTAAACCCGTGAAAGTATCCACGTAAAAGTTGTCTGGTCAGTTCGGTGCTCGACGGACACCCCTGAACTGAGATGACTTGGTCGGGACACACGATGACAACAGACTGCAGACTGGACACACCTGCGACCAGGCTGTGTGATGAATATAATGAGTAACGGAATAACAAGAAGCTATCAGGTCGGTGTGCAGCAAGTGCAGCCCTGGGACTCCACAGCAGCTGAGAGATGGAGCCCGGAGTATTGATATGACAGTTAATATGCAGAACTGGATGATGACGTTCTCTCACTCGTCTTCATATCAACCCAGTGCTGCCATGTGATTCCTCCTGACTGCAATTTCCTGCCCGCCACAGTGATCTGGGGCTCGTTTCTGTTTTTCTAACTGGTGTACTGCAAGTCCCACTTCAGCTTTCGACGCCTAGACATAAGTGTAGACAGCAGGGATTGTCTGCAGTACTGCTGCTATTGTCAGTACAACTGCCATGAGCCATCAATATCGAGTCCAACACGAATTGGTCCTTCGCCCTGATTCTTGCCAACAAGAACATGGGCGATGAAGTCTAAAGTACATCTAAGTAATATGTAAAGAGCCGGTTCCTACCTCACAAGAAACATCCGGTCTCCACAGCAACGAAAATCCCCATACGGCTTTATATCTTACGTTGCTATCAATAAGCTACACTTAACGAGAACTATTGGCGCGGATATATCCGTCTGCGGTAGCATGGGGCCCGGTTAATGCGACAAATTCTGGCTCCATCCTCGCAATAAAAATGACGCTCGAATTTGGCCTCATCTTTCCATGGTGGGGAGGTGTTTGTGAAGTTATTCTTTTCCTCTTAAGTAGGGGTTTACTAATCATTGTTCACGCGCCATAGCTCAAGGGGTTAGTCGCTGGCTCCCCATCGCGGCGGCCCGGGTTCGATGCCGGGTCTGGTCAAGTGGGATTTGTAGTGGACAAAGTGGCACTGGGGCAGGTTTTCTCCCAGTACTTCGGTTTCCCCTGCCAATCTTCATTCCACCAATTGCTCCACAATCACCCTCACCTATAATCTGGGGCTGGTACAATAGGCCAGAAGTGGCCGCAGTACAAGGGACTTAGTCCCACCCCACTAGCAATAAAAAAAACACTGTTCACAGTTTTATCGATTCTTAACTTGGCCCGATTTCGTCTTGCACAGAGAACTCTTATCGGCTGAAGTGTAAGTTCCTGGGACATTTATCTCCGAGTCTGCCATTTTCCTGTCACTCGTGGGACGGATACAAACATTTCCGTCATCTGCTGAAGAGTTTATCGGGCACGTGGCCTCGGGTCTGACGTGACAATCACATAGCCCGAAACAACTTGGTCTGAATCCAATGCTTAGCTGTAGCCGTGGCCGCGCCATAGCTCAAGCGGTTACTCGCTGGCTTCCCACCGCGGCGGCCCGGGTTCGATCCCGGGTCTGGTCAAGTGGGATTTCTGGTCGACAAAGTAGCGCTGGGGCAGGTTTTCTCCTAGTATTTCGGTTTCCCATACCAACCTTCATTCCACCAATTTCTCCATCATCATAATCTCCCGGGGCAGGCTACAATAAGCCAATCAGTGGCCGCCGTGCCGAGTGGGCCCAGTTGAACTCCACCACCAACTAAGTGAATTAAAAAAAAAGCTGTAGCCATCATTTAGCTTCCATGTGGAGGTTAAAATTTTCGAAGAGGTGAGAAACCCCACGAAAAACCTTAGTCATGTTTGCCGGTGTGTCGTCCGAGAATCGAACCGAGCATCTCTCGAATACAAATGTGGAGCCTTACCGCTATACTAGACTGTATGAAGTGTTGAGGTTACATGAATAATATTTCTGATATTGCTTAAATGTCCCAAGGAACTGTAAACAGACGCGTATAATTGCGACAGGTGAATATCTACTTAACAGACACAGTAGTGGCAACAGTTCTCTCTCCCCCATTTCAAAAGCGCAACTGAAAACCTATCCCTAGGCTTGCATTATTTAAGCGAAAAGTAAAGCATAATGTTATAAGATAGGGATGCGCTTAGAACCTGCCAGAAATCAAGCGACCAGTAACTGTTCACTGTTGCAGGAACGTCTCAGGGAAAGATGGGAACCACAATGGCACCAGCGAGGAACCAACCCTTACAGAGCTGCTCATTACGTCGTCCAGAAGGGGCCTCTTTCATAACAACGCTTTGTTTTAACTGTGTCTTTAATTCCGTTAGTTAAATGGTATCCCTTTTATTATCCTCATTTCTGCGATCTGTGTGCAAGAAGATGAAACAAGGGAAGGGAAAAAAAGAGACATATTAAATTTAATTACTTTATCCAGATACTTACGCTTCATTACTCATCATTAGTTTTACACGTCTAAACAGGACGATTACATTAACAAACAAGCGCCGAACGTGATTTGCCCTTACGAAACTTGAAGACAGAAAGGTAAAAGTATAGCAGAAGATTAGGCGAAAGTGGCAAGTCATGGAAGAAGGTTCCCAGGCTTCGCCTGTTCGTCCCTCTGATACCGGCAGTGTGAAAATGAGACCGTTAGGGTGGCTGAATGCAGTGGATTGAGGCACGGGCCGCGAGGTTCGGGAGGGTTCCAGGAGAAGCGCACAAAGCAACTTGTAACTTGGGAACCATCCCAGCATTTGATTCAAGACAGAGGAAAACCAAGAAAACCTGTTTTGCATTCTTAATCTCTCTCTCCCTCTCTCTCTCTGTGGCTCTACAGCCCTTTGTTGGATCTTGGCCGCTTTTTCAGTTTCTTAATCCTATACACAGCCGGTAGGACTCCTTGGACCGGGGGGGATCAGGCTGTCGCAAGGCCGCCACCTACACACAGAACAACACAAACACAGAATAAACGCAGACATCCATGCCTCGAGTGGGATTCGGATCCACAATCCCAGTGTCCGTGCAAGCCATGACAGTTCATGCCTCAGACAGAGCGGCCACTGTGCTCGTTAACAGCATGTATTAATCCAATGCGTACCTCACAGGAAGCACTGCCTCCATAACAAAGACCAATCGGTCAATGCTGTTTACGGAAACAATCGTTGTTTA